CCACCTCCCACCTCCCACCTCCCCATCTCCCGCCTCCCCACGGTCTGGCTGCCCCATTGTGGAGTGTTGAGGAACCTGCTGCTTCGGATCATCTTGGCACAGCGTCCTCCTGGTCTCCTCACCTCTTTCGAGGGTAGGGCCGGACTCTCGTGTTCTGGAAGTGCTTGGAACTGGTGAACTGTCTCTCCAGCCCAGAATTCCTTCAACTCTCAGCTCCACTCTTAGGACCAAGCACTTTCTTTTGTTTTCTGGGCTGTGTTTCTGGTTACACGTGCACATCTGCTTGCACTCGGAGGCCGGAAGAGGACGTTGGTGTTTTCCCTGCCTTGACTCTAGCCCCAGTCCTCTGAGGGAGGCCTCTCGCCGACTTTGGTTTTTACTCCTAAGATGAAAGCCGGCACGCCTGCCTCCCCCTCCTCAGAGCTCGGGCTCCAGGCCCGGGCAGGGCGTCCAGCTTGCTAAAGCAGCGTTGACATCTGAGCTGCAGGCCTCATGACTGCAGACTCTCTTAGCCAGCCACTCCTCCACACTTCAGATTTAAAGGGTTATTTTTACTTACTCGTATGCACATCTGCATGTGAGTTTGTGCACATGAGAGCAGTTACACAGGAGGCCAGAAGATGGCGCCAGACCCTCCCATCGGCAGCTACTGAGTGCAGCCTGTCGTGGTGTAAGACCTGGAGTCTCACTGCTCAGGACCGCGCCCTTCCCAGGGACTCTCACAGACCACAGCTCGATGCGAAAGCAAGAGGTTTTATTGCTATGGAGATAGGGTCGCCCCTCCAAAGACAGGAGACGACCCCGATCATGCAAAGCGCAGGGCTTTTCTACCTGAAAATCAGGTCACTTTTGCTCTCTAGTTCACAGCTGGTTGTTGCTCAGAACAGTTCACCCCGCCCTTCAAGAGCTCTCTGCACCTGGCTTCAATTCAAACACTCACAGTTGTTTTTCTCATTCCCAGGTGGTCCCTCAGTGGTTCTGGGAACTGAACTCCCGACCTCTGCGAGAGCTGCGTACGCTTTCAGCCACGATCCTTCTCTCCAGCTCTTCCACGTTAGATTTTCAGAAATGTGAGGTTTTGGCCCGAGTCCATAATAGCCATTAGGTTTGTGTTCCTGGGCCTGCCTTCCCGTAGACGAATAAAAACGCCCGAAAGGCGAGCAACTCACTTGAAGCAGGAGCTTGGGAGAGCGGAAAAGCGCCCGATCGTGCTGTGTGGAATAATCAAACATAAGCCAATCAACTAAACATGCTGCAAAGGGTCAGTGTGGTGAGGAGGGCTGGTGTGGTGGGGACGGTGTGGTGAGGAGGGCTGGTGTGGTGGGGAGGGCTGGTGTGGTGGGGAGGGCTGGTGTGCTGGGGACGGTGTGGTGGGGAGGGCTGATGTGGTGGGTGGGGACGGTGTGGTGGGGGAGGGCTGGGTTCTCAGGGAGGTTTCCTGTGTCAGAAGGGAATGTCTTTGAACTCCCCCCCCCCCCCCCACCGCTCCTGCCTTGGTCCAGCTCTCATCTCAGGGAGGAGTGGCTCCGGGGGATCTTAATTCAAGTGGTGCTCTCCCTGTGCTCTCTCTACCGCGCCCTTCAGCACACGCCTGTGATCACAGAGCTCAGGAGGAAGAGGCAGCCGGTGGCTGGGTTCGAGGGCAGCCTGGGCTACGGAGGAGAGCCCAGGACAGCCAGGGCCACACAGAAACCCTGTCTCAAAAAACATTAAAAGTACTGATCTGTGTTTGTGTGGGGGTGGACACGTGTCAACGGTGTGCATGTGGGGTCGAGACCAGCTCAGGGGAGCTGCTTCCCCATCCAGTACTCGGCTCCTGGGAATGCTCCAGCAGGAGCCGCTCCCTGCCCCTCACCTACGTCTCAGCAGCCTATGCAGTGGGCACCGTCATTGTGTGTTTGTGCGCGTATGTGTATGTGTGTGTGTGTGTGTGTGTGTGTGTGTGTGTGTGTGTGTGCGAGCGCGTGTGTGGGCAGGGACAGCGTTTGGAGCTGGCTCTCTTGCTCAGTGTGCGGGGTTCGGGTCTAGGGTGCAGAGGCTCGTGGCTTCTTTTCTGCCTCGCTGCTTCCCTCTCTTCTCCCGTCCGCCCCTCGGGGCCGCCCCGGCCTCTGCGTCGCTGGGGCCACGGCGAGCGTCTGCCCGCTTTGCTAGCTCCCTTCTGGGTTGTGTTTGGGAACAGCCGGGCCTGAGCTCTGAGGGGAGCCTGACCTTGACCCCGGCTCCTCCAGCACCGCCACACTCTAAAGCCTGCAAGAGAGGTCTCCACAGAGCGCACAGCGCAGAGCGCAGAGCGCAAGCTGTTGTCAAGCTCGACAGAACGGCTGATGGTGTCTTCATGTTGCATCACATCTCTGCTGTCACGAGGCTGTCGGTTTGTAGGTGAGCTGTTGGCATAAGGTTCTTTTGAAATGTGTACACCTTACCCGTGTTCATTCAAGTGTGATTTCTCCCCCCACTCTCTGGTTTCAATCTGGACACTGCATTGTGATACTTACTCTAAGCATCACCTGTCTCAACTTTGTGTAAACATCCAAAATAAAGCAACCAGCCACAATGTTGATCAGTGGGAGAAGCCAGAGGGCAGGAAATGAGTGGGAGGAGAAAGGGCAAGAGGAGAGCTGTGAGAGCAGAGCTGGAGGACAGATCTTGGAACTATGTGGAGAGATGGACTGGACACAATATTTCACTAAAGGCAAGTACAATGTGGGAAATCTAAATGTTAGGAAACTATGAGGGGTTGGAGGTTTAGGAGGGAGTAACTATGGCCCAGCATTGTGTTCTAGGTTGACTAAATAAACCCAGTCTCTGTGTGGTGATTTGGGTATACAGCTGCATAGGATTAACAGCAGCATTACTAAAAGATAATCCATAGTAAATACTACTCATCACCTACAACAAATGGCCCCAACTAATCTAGCTATCCACACCCTTTAAATCATACTTTATCATAATTTGGTGGGGGGAATAAGCTCCCAGTAATAAAACCCAAACTTAAAACCTAAAAAATCCCAGGTCAATTACTGTCTCTTTAAGAGAGACTCTTAAACCGGCCCAGGAGCAAAAGACAGCCTCCTGTGGGCAGACCTGAGAGTTCCCTAACAAAACTGGGGGGTATAAGAACATGAGTTGTGACTCAGCTCAGCAGCCATGGCAGGAAAGAAAGGAACTGGAGGCAGACAGACCTCTAGACAGAGTTTGGCCTAAACTGCATCTAAAATAAAAATTGCCATGGCAGGGAGTGTTTTAATCCCTTTGGCTTCATTTTGGCTGTCATAGTCATGGATCTGGTTGCAATATGTTTAATGGTGATGGTTCTTCTCCATGCCTTCTCCAAGAAAGTTGAAGGAGAAAATGGAGAAAAAAACAAGGATTGGAATACTAAGTTACAGAGAATAGTACTTATCCTAATAATTAGGTTAATAACGACTAAAATTCAAAGCTCTCTGGCTGCAAGGTACTTGTCAGCTCTTTCTGGTAAGGGTCCGCCAATTCACTGAATCATCAACTGAAATAAGCAACTGGACTTTGTTTGTTACAGCGTAAATTGGCACAACTGACCCCAAACTTAAAATTTTCTTGTCTCGTTTTGTGATTTTCATTTAAAATCTTTGAAATAAAAAGATAATTATTTAAAAAAAAAAAAAAAAATATATATATATATATATATATATATATATATATATATATATATATATATAAATATCTGAACGAGTTGGTGAAGGCCCAGGCCTTTCTTTCCAACACAAAGTAAAAAGAAACAGGCAGATCTCTGAGTTCAGGATCAAGCTAATTTACATAATAAAAGCCAACTCCTGATGGCAACTCCTGCTGTTTAGCCACTTACAGAGACAGTCTAAGATTCAAAATGACAAAATTTTCCTTAAGGTTACCATGTAAATTCTTTTTTCTTAATAATAGATGTTATAACCTTACTGGTCTAAAGGTCGGATTCACATCATTTTTAGGTTTATGTAAAGAGAGATAATATCACACTGCTCTGGAAACTGCCTCATCCTTTTAAATGTGAGACATTTTCACAGGGGAAAAATGTCGGTCGTGCCGATGTAAAAAAAAAAAAAACAAACCACAAGAGTCTTAAAGATGGCAAAGTATATGCCAACCTAGTTTAGTCCTAAAAACTCAAAAATTATATTCATATGTTTAAAAAACAAAACTGTCCATCCTGTATAAAAAAGGGACAAGCCAAAGAATAGCCACTATCAATGTAAAGCCCAGGTACAAGATGCCTAGGGTATGCTTAAATGCTAAAGGTAAGAGGGAGTTTAAATAAAGTTTGGCTCTAAAGGCATAACTGCCCATTCTATATAAACAAGGGGATGGGACAAATAGTCACAACATATATAAAAATCTAGGGTTAGACCTCAGAACAGGTACAAGATACCTATGGTATGCTTATATTCTAAATTAAAAAGGAGTTTATGTAAAATTTACTTAAAACATGCATTTTCTATTGCTCAAGGCAACCAGCTTGTCTCTAATGGGAGGCTTCTCTAGGGAAATAGGTAGCAGCTTGGCCTAATACAACAGGCACGCAAGAGCCCTAAAATATATTTTAATCTATCCAACCTTGTTTTGATTATCAACATGATAATGATTGTATGTTCTATAATAATGCTAACTTATATTGCTGATCCCTTTACATGGGAACAACTCTAAAACTGACCGAGACATAAAAATGTGCCAAAACTTCAACAATACTTGGCCAATAAATCCTTGGCTATAATATCCTCAAAATGTGTTATGCTCACCTTTTAATTGGCATAGATAAAATTGGCTCACAGTTTAGTTTCATCCTGCACATCTCATACAGTTATAATTTTAGAACTCTATAGTGCTTGTGAGAAATTATATGTTTGCAGAACAAAAGAACTGGACACCAGAGATGCTGGATCAAACCTAACAGAATCATTCTTCAGCGTGCTGAGACATTGACACATCTGTTCCAGCATCTTGCATGTTCCAGCACTCTGCTTGTTCCTGCCTCAACTGCTTCAATTGCTGTTTCTCATCAAAGCCTGCTCCCAAAAGAACTTTGAAGAAAGCTACTAATTTTAACTGGTCCAGCATTTTAGATTGTTCCAAAGAGGACTTTTATTAAGCCTGAAATTTCTCAACATTCAAAGACTGGACCACAAATGTTATTGTTTGCTTAATTAACCATTTTTTTTTTCTGATTTTATTTGGACCCCCTACAGGATTTCTGCATGTCCAAAATGTCAGCTAGAAGAAATCTATGATAACGGCGTCCAATTTTCCTTAAAGGGGGTTGGGTATGTTTTTGGTTGTTTGCTATGGCTATGAAATTTTATTGTCATTGGGAGATGTTTATTATTAATGGTCTTATTCAAAGTAAAACAAAGAATATACAGGTATATCTTATAGGAATAGAAAAAAAGGTAGAGTATTAAATCTACTCAACTTAGGGTTTTATTTGTTATTCCCAAATAAGGTTAATTTTAACTCTGATATAGGATTTTGCATATTGATGCAAAATAAGTCTATTTTTAATACATTGGTATAAGCTTTAGTATATTGCTAGAAATGCAAGGTTACTTCCAATACTTTTAAGCAGCTGTTAAAAACTGGTTAGGATATTAAGTAATGCAAGTTAATTGCTAGTTATTCAGCTCACAGTCATGTCAGACACTAGTCTAATTTATCACAGGGTGAACAGCCTAGGCTAACAGACATGATCTTGTAGACAGATCACGATGTGCTTCTATAGACAGGCCAATTACATAACGATAGGTAGCTCAGAAACTTCAGAGACCTACAGAAGATGGCATTGAAAATGTTCTTATTATTTTAGAGATTCTTTGACAATGAGACAAGTCATTTCCTGGCAGTACCCTCTACCTGAAAGAAGATAGAAGAACCTCCATATGGAGATGGCTTTGACTGTGGCCAACAAGCCACTCAGGTAAAGAAAATACCCTCGCTTCTCGACAGACAAATTCTGCCTAAAATGGGCAAGCTTAAATCAGGACAAGTCGACTGCCGAGCTCTGCCAAGACAGGGTAAGCAAGTCCTAAATAGTTCCTGCTTCACACATGTCTGTCAAATAGTCTGAGCCAGAAGCCTGAAGGTGATGCTCCTGTTACAGAGAGTTATGGGTGACTGTTCAGGCATCAAACTGTCTCTGTCAATTTTTAATTTTTGGAAGCTGCTAACATGCCCTTCCTATTTACTCTAGTAACTAATTTTATTCCTTCTCAAGTCTCTGATGGGGTTGAAGTCCAAATAGTTATAGTGCCACAATTAAGCTTGAGTGGTTTAGAAGTTAAGAAATCCTTTCCTATAGGTAATACCAATAGGATAAAAGTTAATTTAGGCATAGAACTTTTAACTTGTCAAGATAGATAGGATAATCAGACACTTTCTCCTAAGTTGCTAAATACACATGGACTGGACATCGCACGTGTAGATTTTCCTAACAGTTTTCATAATTATTTTTGTATTGAAAGAAAAGGAGCCTTTTGTTGGACTTAAAGTGGGAAATGTTGGTATAATGTTCTTTTGAAATGTATACATCTTACCCTTGTTCATTCAAATGCTGATTTCTCCCCCTCCCCACTCTCTGGTTTCAATCCAGATATTGCATTGTGATACTCATTCTAACCATCCTGTCTCAACTCTTGTGTAAACAGGCCAAAATAAAGCAACTAGACACAATGTTGAGCTGGGAGGAGCCAGAGGACAGGAAATGAGCGAGAAGAGAAGGTGCAAGAGGAGAGCGAGGAGAGAGCAGGAGGAGAGAGATCTTGGAAAGACGTGGAGAGATGGACTGGACATAATACTTCACTAAAAGCAAGTACAATGTGGGAAATCTAAATGTTAGGAAACTATGAGGGCTTGGAGGTTTAGGAGGGAGTAACTATGGCCCAGCATTGTGTTCTAGGTTGACTAAATAAACCCAGTCTCTGTGTGGTGGTTTGGGTATTCAGCTGTGTAGGACTAACAGCAGCTTTAGTAAAATATAATCCATAGGAAATATTAATAGATGCCTACAACAGCAAACAGAGGCTGTATTTGATGAACACACACCCATGCACGTGCGCACACCTCTGTGGGCGCCTGTGTGCCACGAGGCATATGTGGACATCAGGGCTGAGCCTCAGGTTCTGGCGCTCGCCTTTGACCTTGCCGGACACACCCCAGCCCAGCTGGCCTGTGAACTTGCTGGTGTGCCCCAGCCACTTCTAAGGCTCTCAGCGCCTCGGGCCTTCCAGCTGGTGGGGGTCTCCTCACGTGGTGGAGGGGCTCGGGCCTGTCGGGCCTCCACCCCGGCCACCTTCACAGACCTTGAGGCTGCACTGCAAAGTCTCTGTGTTTCCTCTTCAAACTGCCCACGGCTGCCACAGTTTTCAGCTGCAGATACGCTGGGAAGTCACAGAGACGCCGCCCCCTCCTGAGAGTAACCGGGCGGGGGTGGAGTTGAAGAAGAGAGCAAAGGGGGAGGCAGGGGGGGGAGGAAGAGAGTGGAGAGGAGATGAAGAAGAGAGCGAGGGGAGGAAAAGAGTGGAGGGAAGAGATGAAGGAGAGAGCGAGGGGGTGATGAAGAGAGCAAGGGGAGGTGAAGGAGAGAGCAAGGGGGGAGGAAGAGAGCAAGAGGAGGCAGAGAGTGAGGGGGGAGGTGAAGGAGAGAGCAAGGGGGAGGAAGAGAGCA